GGGCTTGCCTTGGGTTAACTAGACTTAAAAAAATACAAGTTAAATCTCTTGCAGAAAGCTAGACTGAGATAAGAGCAGGTAAAGAGTGACCTCTTTACGCAGGTCCGCAAAGGAACACGCATCAGTTTACATCCATTTTAAAAATGATTCTAGTTCAACCAGCACAACTTCTGGCGGCTGACAAAGACAACTGCAGTCTGGGCAATTTTATGTTCATAAGGGTTGTGCTGTCACGTCTTCTGGCAAATAAACCAAGAACTGACACTCAGATTCTGCAGCATCTCAAAAACTGAAAGGCTGCCTCAAATTTTAGCAAATTACAAAGAGAAATTCTCAACTGACCAATGGAAAGAGGCAAATACTGTCAGAGGTTGATAACAAAATCAAAAAAAATTAAGAAACAACATTTGTGGCACCAATTCTGCTCTCTAGTTATGCTGTTAAGTCCCTTAAGATGGGGGCAGCATCCCCCTCCCCATTTCTGGTGTGCACTGCATGGCACACTACTGCTTAAATAGAGAGAAAAGGATATAGTATTCAAAATGCTGATGGCATATACAGTTTTCCCCTCAGCATTATAGACTGTTTTCCCCTATAAAAGCTAACAGTACACCTTTATGCAGCAAACTGTTTTCACAGGACGGGTTCCCTGCGCTTGAGTCCCCGAGCAGGAGGAGATTGGTGATTCTCTGCTCCTTCATCCTGGTGCTCTTTCCATCTTGCTCCCCAGTCTCACCTCCGCCACTGAAATCATGGTGGTGGAGATCAGCTTTTTTTGTTTCTTCTGCTGCACACATATTGAAGACAGGGGTGCTGTAACACCACCTTTTCTGCTCAGGTATTCGGTCAGTTGTTTAAACCTAGTCAGGTGTTGTCAGTGCATGACAAATTGCATCCACCAAGATTTCCTCCTGTAACAGGTTGATCAGGAGTGAGGTATCTGGCCACTACTATAGACATGGACAACTGTTAAAAAACACTGAGCTGCTCTTCCACAACAGGTATTAACTTGGCCCTCTATATACTTACAGCTAAACCCTTCTCAACCAGGGTTCAATGAAGGCATGAGCTGCCTGTGCCTGAGACTTGATGGCAATCACTGGGGATTCATTGCGTGCAGACAAAAATCTTACAGGCCTGCAAAATGAACAAAATGAGTCCAGAGCTAAGCTTGGGAGCCCTCTTGCTGAAAGGGTGCTTCAGGAAGCTACCACACAGCATAGTCCTAGGAGAAATAGAAGCCCAGCCATAAATTGGGAGCAGATCAGAGGCCGCAACCTGTACCAAACACAGCTTTGGATTTGGGCAGCCACATATAAGTGCACTTATGTGCTGCGAGTGTCGAGAGGAAGACCACAGAAAATTGTTCCAGACAATGAGCTGGGCAGGCAAGCAAGGGGCCATGATGCTACACTGCAAGGAAAAGTAGTTAACAGCATTTGTCAAAGTCTTTCCACCATTTTTGGTTGTAGTTTGACACAAGACGATCCTAATGTCTTCTTCCTTTAGAAAAAAAAAAAAGCTGTTGTGAAATGTCTGCTCAACACATGGCAGAAATATTCTCCAAATGAACTGTACGCTCATCTGGTTCAAGAGGCACAAAGATGTGCTTAGGTGGGGGGTGAAGGAGCAAGGGCAGCACTGCTCCCAGCCTTCCTTTCCTAGGGAGAGTCACTACGCGGAGCCTTGTCTAGACCCATTCAGCCCTAAAGTGGCCAAATACTTAAGTGCACATGCAGAGAATACACTTGGTCAGTGGTGCAACACCAGTTACTGCATGGCCAACCACCTACTCTATCTTCAAAACAAAAGCCTTCAATTCTGGGCCTTATCTATTGTTCTCCAAAGTCTACATTACAGGAAACGCAGTATGAGGAGACATCTGAAGATGTAATTATTAGCATGTTAGTTGATTTTCCCTCCTCTCGTCCCGTCCGCTAATTCTGTTTGCCTGTCCTACCGCTTCTTTTTAAAACATTTTATTCAAGCGACAACTGCAGTATGATAAACACGCCGGCCGAAGATTAAAAGGTACATCAATGGAATGACTATTTACAAACAAGTCAACATCTAAAGAAAATTCTCCAAGCTAGATAACTGACAAAACGTATAGGGAAGGAAACATAACATCCACTTGTAAGTTGAACTCAGGACCTCGTTCACCCTAGCACACGCAACTTCATGTTAGCTTTACTAACAGCAAAAATGACCAGATTTGAAGCCTTTCCCTTTATTTTAAGAAGGCTAGCATGTCAAAACCAGATCTTCCCAAACCACTCTCACCTTCCGGAGACAGCCGCATCGCAGGAGGAAAAACAAAACGAGAAACCTTCTCTCAAGTTCAGAGGGCAAATTAAGATTCAAGTTTATCAACATGTTTGAATGGGCATACACAAGGAAGAAGAGCTCTAAAAACAGGGCAAACATGCCAGCAGAAACTAGCACGATGTTGTGAATAACCTAGCAGGAAAGCTCAAGCCAGTTATGTTTGTCCTTGGATAAAAGTAGCAGAAGCTGCACCACAGTCAATATAAACAGGGACAAGGGGAATGAAGAGGATCACGTTTATTTTGAAAGAAATATATATAGAACCACTTACACTGCACTAGGAAGAGCTGCTCTGCTCTCCTGCAGCAGGAGCACAAGCACACAGCTCCAGGACCAAAATGCACCATCATTTTCCCCTGCTTTGGGAACATCTTCACTGTTACATCAGCACGGAGCACACCAAAGCTATTTTTCAAGCAGAGAAGACCCCTGTAGCCTTTGCTCTACACTGTGCCACAAGCTACGCTACTACCCGTCGGGGATGACATTTTGGAAACACTTTCATTCGACACATTCCCAAAAGAAATCTACATGCACATATATATTTAAAAAAAATCCAAAACAAGGATAACGATGGCACAAGCACTACAAATGGCCTTCATATTAAGGATTCAAACCTGCCGGCAACTTCTTATGAGACTGTCCTTGACACAAGGGGGGGGGAGGGGGGGGGGAACCTGACTCAAAAAACACAATATAGTCAAAGGTGAAGGACAGTTTGCTCAGCTCTGTTCATGCAGTGGCTATTTAACCAAGTCAGCCACAAATGCCACCTAATCGATGACTCGCTGCGGTGACAAACAGGAGACAGAAGCACAATAAATACTAGGCGTCTTCTACAGAAACAAGCAAAGCCCGGTTCTCTCCAGGCCGACAACATTGTCATATTCCAGAAGCGGTTTAAAATACCAGCCCTTTAAAGCACATCTATTTGTCTGCCTCTCCTGCCCAGCCTCCCACCAGCGCAGCAGCAGCGCAGGGAAGCGGCCTCCAAGGTGCTGCCTTCCTTCGGCAGCTGCCTCCACCTCCATTTCTGCCAGACCAGGGCAAGCCCCAGGAGCACCAGCAAGGCTGGCAGCGTCGCACGCCCGCACGCACGCAGTGGCCCCTACTGACATACATGCACGCACACGCGTGCCCAAGCACGCCCATGGACACACACGCACACGTACGCCTGGGTTTTGCGCGCGCACACAATCACACCCGATTGTAACAGACACGCGCACAGGTTTCACAAATGCACCGTGCACACAACCACACCTGACATGTGTGCATGCAGTTTCACACATGCGCCATGCACACAACCACACCTGACACGTGCAGTTTCACACATGCGCCATGCACACACTCACACCTGACACGTGTGCATGCAGTTTCACACATGCGCCATGCACAATCACACCTGACACGTGTGCAGTTTCACACATGCGCCATGCACAACCACACCTGACACGTGGGCATGCAGTTTCACACATGCGCCAGCCATGCACAACCACACCTGAGACGTGTGCAGTTTCACACATGCGCCATGCACAACCACACCTGAGACGTGGGCATGCAGTTTCACACATGCGCCATGCACACACAACCACACCTGACACATGTGCAGTTTCACACATGCGCCATGCACACACAACCACACCTGACACATGTGCATGCAGTTTCACACATGCACACTGTGCACACAATCACACCTGACACGTGTGCATGTACAGGTGTCACATGCACATATCTCACCCACTGACACATGGAGATGCACACATAGGTGTCGTGCACACAATCACACGCGCCAGCACGCGTGCATGCCTGCACAGGTTTTGCACGCATGCAGCGCGTGTGCACAACCGCATTCACTGATGCACACACAGAGATGTGCTCACATGCAGTTTTTAGACACACATGCACAATCACACCCACCAGCACAGAGGTTTCAGGCGCGCACACATGCACAATCACACCCACTGACACACACACACGCAGAGGTTTCAGGCGCGCACACATGCACAATCACACCCACTGACACACACACACGCAGAGGTTTCAGGCGCGCACACATGCACAATCACACCCACTGACACACACAGGTTCCAGACGCACCTGCACACTCATGCACCGGTTTCACACACACACACGCGCGCGCGCGCACACTCGCAGGTTTGAGGGATGCGGATGGGAGGAGAAGCGGCTCGCCTCCAACCTTCCAACCCCCGTTTGCAGGCAGGGGCCGGCCCCAGGCGTGCACACACACACACAAGCACAGTGACACAATCACGTTGACACCAGCACGGCCCGGCAGTGACACACACATGCACACACTCACGCGCGCACACAGGCCCGGCGGGCGGGCGGGCAGCGCTGCTCAGTGGTCGCAGCCCGGGGGAGGGAGGGAGGGACGCCC